GCTCACACCAAACTACTGCAATCAATTTTGATTCAAACTTCTCTCTTTGCATAACGAGTGCAGTGTTGTTATTGTTTATTAAAACTTAAGCTACTTTTCAATAATTGAAATAAAGCTGAAATAAAATAAAAAGATAAATATTAAACCTAAAAAACTGAAATGAGAAATTTTGCCTTAGCAACCATCTGTAATATAGTTTAATATAATATGCATAAAATATATACAAAATATAAAAATTTCTAAAGCGAAAATAAAGCTACATAAAAATATAAATAAATGAAACTACTAAAAACAACAAAGCACAAAAAAATCTAAAACCTAAACTAAAATAAAACTGAAAGTATAAAAATGAAGATAAAAATAGAGCTGAAATAAAATAAAAGATAAATATTAGATTAAACTTAAAAAATAGAGATGTAGCAACCTACTTAGATAAAGTTTGTTGATATACTGTACATAAACTATATATATTAAATATTAAAATTACTAATACTAAAATAAAAAATAATAATAAAAATGACAATCGCATAACAAAATTACTATTTAAAATAAAACTGAAAATATAAAAATCAAATCAGATTAATATTAAACTTAAAAAATGTAATTAAAAATGTTGCCTTAGCAATCAACTGAAATAACTATATATATATATATATATATATGAACAATTAAAATTACCTAAACTAAAATAAAGCTAAATAAAAGTATTTAAAAAATGACAGAAGCACATAACAAAATGACAACTTAAATTAAAATAAAACTGAAAATATAAAAATAACAGTTTTTTAAAAATATTAAGAGTATATAAATAAATAAATAAGCTACATTGAATGAGTGTTATTTGATATGTCCAAATGAGGTTCTATTTCAGTTAGGATACTGTCTTAGAAGGAAGTTGCCTATATACATGTAGGCGGCAGACAAAGGCCACTCAGTAGGTTTTGGAGCGGAGCCTGAGAGCGAGAGGGTTTTAGTCTGAGGATTTGGGGGATTTATAAAGCGAGTGGAAAGTGTTGCTATAGAGGTGTGGAAATGGACATATGCCGAGCTGAAGGGGTGAGGCTGAAATGCAGGACCCCCTGCTTTACGTGTTATCTGTCGGCAGAAGGATGATGGGTAAAGAATGAAGGAGGTCCAGCGGAGGAGAGACGAGACGTGAAAGAAACACAGGATTTTTTAAATTTACCAGCTAAGATCAGTGTCAAATGCAGAACAAGCACATCACACTCCCCGCCAGGCAATAAGTTGGTTTGATGGATTGGACAGGCCCGTCAGTGCACTTGGCAGGCTTTACATGCATATGGGAGAATAGGATCGGATTTTTGTTCAGATAACTTTCAGAAAATGAACCATAAATTCAAAATTCATCCAAAAGGAATGTTCAAAACAACTTAAGGTCAACAAAGCACCATTTGCAACTCATTTGAATTAAGCAATAGGACAAATATCCAAATAAACAGGATTTTCAGTGAGAAAAGATGCAGGACTCCCTTGATTGCGTCCATCGGGAAATGATTTCGTTATAAAAAAAAATGCATGTTTTAATGTTCATTGCCTTGACCTATGACGTAACTGTGATTTTTGCATTTAAAACAGCTGAAGGGCAAATCAGAATGTATTTTTTGTGGTAATTAATATGCTGTCGACAAACTTGTACTGAACCCAGAACCGTCCTTTAACCCAGAGCAGAAATAAAGCCTGCATATTTTGAATACAAACATACAGTAGAATGCCAGTAAACAGCTTGCAAATATTTTCCATGATCTTATTCATAAGATACGTTGTTGTGTTGTTTCTGTCAGGTTCTGAGGGTTTGTGTTTTATGTCATGTCGCACATAATTCTGAGTGTCTCTTAAACCTCTAAGCACAAAGAGACCGTTAAGTTAATAGTCTCTTCATGGACTCATCTGCAACCTTAATAAGCTCGAGTCCATTAAGATCAACCGAAGATTTGATAGACGAATTACCAACATCCTTGCAACAACATCCTTAAGAGGATTGCATGAGAGCCGAACGTCTTACAGGCAAATCCAGACTGTTCGTCACAGCAACATCACCATACAGCTCTCACAAGACGATCAAAATCCCCAAGTGTGTTGACCAATGAAACTGATATATTGCTATTAAATTAATGTGAATATTAGATCATTTTTTGAGATCTCTGACTTCTGAGATTTAGTTTGTGCACTCCTCGAGAGGAGACGCGAGAGATCACTGGAGTCATTTTATGGAGAACCATTTGAGAAGCAGGAGACTATATCATAAGCCGTCTGTAAAGAGATTTGCAATGTGTCTTTCCTATGGGAAAGCACATTAAACATGGTTTATGTTTCTCTAATAGCACCTAATATGATGACTATAAATCCAGCAATTTGAATAATGGCCAGCCCTGAAGCAATTTTAATGCATTAAATGCATGAAGAGAAACACACAAAAAAAGCACTGAATCAGGTTAGAGCTCATTATGCTGAGATCTCTACAGGCCTATTGAAGCTCAGCGAACACGCCGCTGTCGCAGGAACGCAACCTTTGCCCAGATGAAGGGAAGACATGAGTCTCTAAACACCTAAACGTGAAGATTATATCAAAGTCACAACAAACAGCTGCTTTGGTAGCGATTACGAGACATTCTAAGGTTTTAAAGGAATACTTCGACCAAAAATGAATTTGAAAATGAATGCAAATTAATTTGTAATTTTTTACTCATCCTCACCATCTCTCCAAATTTAAAAAAGGGAAAAGGGGCATAAAAGAGCCATAAAGTCCACCGAAGCCAAACAATAACTTTGAAAAAGTCATTAGTCACTGAAATTCATCTGTCATCACGCTCAAATGAAACATGGCACTTTTATACATGCACGTCGATGCTCCATTTTTGTAAGCTCTGCGACTTTTATAGTCCATTTCAGTGTCATTATTGTTAATTAAAACTATAATAGTTTTTGTTAATTGGAATACAATCAAATATATAAATAGTACATGGAATCCTTAAACTTAAAAAAAATGTAATGTTAATATATAAATAAAATATATCATATAGGCCTATATTAAAATATATATATGAAATATTTAAATTACTACAACTAGAATAAAGCTAAATAGAAATATTAAAAATAAACAAATACGTTTTTGTTTAAATTGCTTAAAGTAAAACTGAAATAACATAAATGAAATCTAAAAAGAATGATTACATTTACTAAAACTAACTTAAAATTGAAAAAAAAAATTTATTCAAGAACTAAAATACTAAATAAAAATAAAGTGAATTAGAATGATTCAAATGACTAGATTAAACTAAATCTAAATAGAATATTAAATAACCAATAAGTTTATATTAAAGTACTAAAATTGCTCAACCTAAAACTGAAAAATAAATGAAAGCTAAAAAGAATTATTAAAATTACTAAAACTATATTAAAATACAACTTAACAGAAATATTAAAAGTACTAAAATTGCTAAAACTAAAACTGAAAAAATAAATAAATTAAAGCTAAATAAAACATATATAATAAAAAATTAAATAACAAAAGCACAAGTATATTCGAACCACTTTCATGTAAGAGAACGACTTTGAATTTTAAATGCATCTAACAGAAGGATGCATAAATGACCTCAAAGCAAACACACATGAACTAAAAGCCCCAAAACTCCCACACGCAAGGCTACATGCTGATCAGCTGCGCAACAATACACGCGTCGAGAACGCATCTGACCCTCTGAGAGAGACTGTGACCCCGAGAGCCTCTTTCACTCATCTGCTTCATTTTCTCTCTCTTTCTCGTGTGGCAGAGGCCAGAGCGTGTGCTGGAGCGTTTGACGGGAATACTGAAGACTCTCTCTTCATTACCCGCTCCAGATCATGAATAGATAGGTGTCAAGGTGCGTGTCATTTGCACTGTATGCTATTGACCGGCAAAACAAGAAATCCTTCAGGAATTTAAAATAGAGTCAAAAGGGTTTAAACTTTTCTGCTGTGATGCATTTACTTGCTGCCGTTCTGTGATGAGATGAACGTGTCTCATTGAAATCTCTTCAAGTCTTTATTTTAGTCTCTGAAAAATTACACCACAACCAAACACCCTTAAATGGTTTTATATTAATCATTGTTTTGTGATACTAATGATAGCGTGCATGCTTCCCTTATCGTTTTCAGCTCTTTTCTGTTGATTACTGTACAATACAAACATGGAAAATAAATGAAATAAAAATGCATGTAAATGAATTAAATACATTTATTTATTTATTTTAATGATACACCTACTAGTTAGACATTAAGCTAAGTGATTAGCTTTCCAAAAGAGTCAGGGAGTTACACACTAAAAGTAGTGCTACTAACTTAACTACATCAAGTCTGGTATACTTTTTTATAAAACCACACACACACACACACACACACACACACACACACACACACATTATGAAAATATTCATCTCTGACAAGCGTACACGAGAGCACGACGACGGATGAATGTTTTGTTGAAATGAAAGCAGACGTTGTGTGAATGCACGCATAAAATTGAGGTTAAACCAGTGGAGTCACATGGATTACTTCAATGAATGTCATTACTACCTTTCTGTGCCTTGAATGTGCTAGTTGCGTGGACTGTCAATGTAGGGACAGAAATCTCTCAGATTTCATTAAAATATCTTCATTGGTGTTTTGAAGATGAACGAAAGTCTTACAGGTTTGGAACGACATGAGGGTGAGTAAATGTTGACAGAATTTGGGTAAATTAACCCCATTAAACAGTTTGTCAAAAGCATCAAGAGAAGAGACTGACTTGCATGGAATGGCATGCTGATCAAAATTGAAGTACTGGTGAACTGAATAATTCTTCCAAGAGCCAGGAGACAAGGCTGAGCACTTCCAGCAATGCCTTGAAGATGCTCCTCAATGCTTGTTCCACTCTGGAAAAAAAACAAACAAGAAAATCGCAGAGGACTATCGCTGATATGTTAAATAAAAAAACAAAACAAAACAAAATAAATAAATAAAAACAAACCTTCTAAAAGATCTCTCTACTTGAGATGTAGACACCTTTCCTGGTCTCTTCTGGCCTTGACAAGACACAAACAACAAACATTTTAAGATCATCAACACTGCTTAAAGAATGCTATATGAAGTTAATCCTTAGTCACAGTTAATGCAACTCAGTAGCTACAAAACTGCTGTGAAAAGTGGCACAATGACATTTCTCTTTTCATTTTGTACCTTCAAATTATATTCCTCGTTAGAAATGCCTCTCTGTATAGTTTTGATTCTCCATAGCAAGTATCCGGTGGCACTCTTACCAACATCATAGTAATGCTCCTTAGAAAGACAAAAATACAGAAAAAGGAGAAGAAAAAGTGTTTTAAAATCCAAGAGAAAAATACACCACCTATATTATGGGCATGCGATCAAAACATTTAAAAGTTTTCAACAATGCATTAAAACTAAAACAGTGCGATACTTACATAGCCATTTTTGAAGAAGGGGACACTGAGGTACGGGAACAAAGGCACAATTCCTCTGGCATAGTTTTCGTTCACCTTCCTTGGTGGTGATGTACTGCAAAAATAAATATTTTTTTTGAAATATAAAAATAATAATATATATATATATATATATATACACACACACAGTTATCATATATACAGTTATTTATATGAAATATGACCTATTCTTTTCTTTAATGTCATCTGTCAGGATATTGACAGTTTTTCATTGAGAATCAATCAGACCAGCTTAATAATAAAAAATAAAATAAAAAAAAGTATCAAAGCAAAAACATAAATATGGTATATAAACAATAAAATACTACTTCAAACAATACTTCATTTTACATAGAATTCAACTCAGATCATTTTCACCAACACTAGGGGGCATTGTTCACTATTTGTTGTTAAGTTAACTCCTTAAGAGTAAATGGAGTGTAACTGCTTAATTAACACTGTCAATTTGACTGTGTACTTATAAATATAGATTATATTTAAGATAATAATTTATAATAAAATAACAATAATATATAACAAATAACATAATAAAATAATTATAACAAAAATAATAATTAAAAATTCAGATAATATTTATAATAACAAATAAATTATAATTAATCAATAAGAATAAAAAGTAATTACTTATAATAAATATTATAAATTATAACATTGGCTATTTAAGAACATATTGCTATAATAGCGTTAAAGTACTTTTTGTATAATATAGATTAGATTAAAAAAATTATCATATTTATAATAAATAATTTATAAGAAAATTATTATAATAAAAATGTATAATAAAATAATAAATCAGCATTGCATTCTTAAGAACATATTGCTACAAGCATTAAATAGCTTTTTTGTAATTTAGCTAACTATGTATAAATGTAAATCATATTTATTATAATAATTTATAATAAATAATGTATAATCAAATAATTATAATAAAAGATAATTTAGGATAAAAATTATAAATCATAGCATTGGATAATAACATATTGCTATACTTTTTAAATAGCCTAAAGGTGATTTTTGTTTTTGCAAAAGTATTTTTACTGTACTTTAAATTATGAGTAGCTTAGTAGGTTCATCATCACTGATATTCCATTCAATTCAATTTTTTCAATTCAAGTTTATTTGTATAGCGCTTTTCACGATACAAATCTTTGCAAAGCAATTTTTACAGAAAATGACCTTTCTACAATATTTAGTAGTAGCTTATCAGTGGTGACTGTCAGTTAATGTACATATAGCAGAAATGTATGGAAAAATCAATTAAAGACGTAATCAAACAGACGATATCCTCATATCATTCTATAGCAGTCGACGTAAATTATTCCACATGTAGCAGAAGCAATGACAGCCAGACAGTAACAGGCCGTCTTTGGGCAAAACAGGTCTGAGGCGACGCTAAACTAAGCTACTGAGACGCAGGCTGGCATGTTAGCCAGAGCCCGACTCCAGCTGGCGGACGCTGTTCTCCTCAGAAGAGGCATACAATGTGCTGTACACATTTCGGGCCCTTAATTGGGTGTAACAGGACAGATTGGGCATCGTCGAGGTTTGTCCTGAGCGGAGCCCGCTGTATGCCGGTTACAGGTGCAGAGCATGCCTGCAGGCCGCTGACTAGATGTTCAGGTCATTTTCGACATGTCAGGTTTTGGCGGTACAAGTTTTGGTGGTAGCAGTCTTCAGTTAAGTAGCCCGGAGGGATGTTGTTATGGCTCACTTTCTGAAAATATGAAATGAGCAAAGAGAGAGAGAGAGCAATTCAGCTTTCCCACCAAATCTGTTGTTGCAGACTAGTCAAGTCAAGTCAAGTCAAGTCACCTTTATTTATATAGCGTTTTAACAATACAGATTGTGTCAAAGCATCAAGTCAACGATATCGCTGGAAATGAAGTGTCCCCAACTAAGCAAGCCAGAGGAGACAGCGGCAAGGAACCAAAACTCCATCGGTGACAAAATGGAGAAAAAAACCTTGGGAGAAACCAGGCTCAGTCGGGGGGCCAGTTCTCCTTTGGCCAGACAAAACCAGCAGTTCAATTTCAGGCTGCAGCAAAGTCACATTGTGCAGAGGACTCATCTCAGAGAGACTAAGTCTGTTTGCTGGCAGATATTTCCATTTGTGTTTCCTGTACTTTACTAAAACCATTAAAAAACATTTTTGTTATTGAAATAAAATAAATAACTGAAAAAAAAAAAATGTAAACAACATTATACTTATTTTATTTCAGCTAATTGCCAAGGCAACATTTCTCAATTTTTAGTTTGACTTGAACTAAATTAACTAAACCTAAAACTGAAATAAAATTAATAACAATTATATTGAGACATATTTAAAAAAATGAATAGAAATCATGCAAAACGCAATAAAGCTATTAAAACTTTAACTAAACATAAAATGGGGGAAAAAAAAAAAAAACTAATCAAACGTATTAGTGAAAATCATCTATAAAATATAAATGACAAAATATATTCTGAAGCCATTATTTACAGAAAATCTTTCCTTGTACTGCTGCTCATAAATCTCATTCTTCGTAGTGCATATTTGAAATAGAACATTGTGTTTGATATGCAAGACATATATGAGACCTGGTGCAATATGCCAATTTTGAATCTTGATTTAATTTAATTTTATAATTAATTTTTTTTTATTTATTTATTTCTTTTACAGAAATTTGTTCTTTGGGCAAAATATTTCAAAATTGGGAATGCATGAACTGATAAAAATGTATTCCTTAAAGAAAAAAAGTACACCCTAAAATTAAAATTTGCTGACATTTACTCACCTTCTGGCTATCCAAAATGTAAATGAGTTTGTTTCTTCATCAGATTTGGAGAAATGTAACATTTCATCACTTGCTCACCAATGGATGCTCTGCAGTGAATGGGTGCCGTCAGAATGAGAGTCCAAACAGCTGATAAAAACATCACAATAATCCACAAGTAATCCACACCACTAAAGTCCATCAGTAAACATCTGGAGAAGACAAAAGCTGGGTGTTTGTAAGAAACAAATCCATCGTTAAGATGTTTTTAACTTCAAACCACTGCTTCTGGCTAAAATACAAGTCCATAATCAATAATATTGCTTTTTCTATTGAAAAAGTCTTCTCATCTGAATCAGGAAATAAATCTACACAGATCAAGCACCGTTTACAAGCCAAAACAGCCTATAACAGTTCTATACAAATATGTGTGTGGATTTTGATGTGAGAGACAACAGGAGATAGACTTTTTCACTGGAGGAAGCGTTATTATGGATTATGGACTCAACGGTTTAAAGTGAAAACTTCTTAATGACGTCTTAATGATTTGTTTCTTTCAATCACGCAGCCTTTGTCTTCTCAAGATGTTAACTGCTGGACTGGAGTGGTGTGGATTACTTGTGGATTATTGTGATGTTTTTATCAGCTGTTTGGACTCTCATTCTGACGGCACCCATTCACTGCAGTGGTGAGCAAGTGATAAAATGCTACATTTCTCCAAATCTGATGAAGAAACAAACTAATCTACAGGTGCATCTCAATAAATTAGAATGTCGTGGAAAAGTTCATTTAATGATAAAAATTCACTCCTTTTTTTTTAATCCCCCAAAAACATAAAGAGTCTCAATTATAAAGCCATTTGATTTTGGAGTGAATACCAGCACTCTCTTCCACCTTCAATAGCACGACTGAGGTGAGACCCTTGAGCAAGGCACCAAACCCCCAATTGCTCCCCGGGCGCCACATCCATAACTGTTAATCATTTTCAAACATGTAAACCAGGCAGGGTTAAACGTGCAATATGTGCTCAACACTGATAATTGTCAGACTTTCGAAATCCTTTATCACTTGAATTAAGATTATAATACTTTCATTTTAAAGGAGACATTGGATGCAAAATATCTTCATTTGCATATAAATGTGTCTT